TCCTGTTGAGAAGATCCAGGGAGCTACCTCGACCCCTGGAGCTGAAGGAACCACATGCAGAACCTTGCCAGCACTGAGATGCTTCCACCGCCACTAGAACCACAAGACTTCCATCCACTGACCTGTGATCTTCCTACATTCGGCGTTTTTGCATGTGTTGTGTGAGTCTGAAGAGGAATTTATAAGTTGGTATCGGACATGTGGGCTAATATTGGACTTACGGACTTGATCTAGACTGGGCTGGGATGTTTTGTCAATGTTCAATTGCTCTTGTATATAAAGCTCTTTCTTATACACATGAGTCTATGAATTTGTTTCACTGGTCTACCCAGACTAACACAATAATTAAAATGTGCATGATATTTGACAAAGAAATATGGAATGGAGTGATCTAAGGAGATAATCTCATAGCTACACAAACATGTAAAGTGATATCTATTACAGGATTGCTTATAACAGTGACAAATTGGAAACCACTTCAGTGTCCAGTCGCTAAAGGACTGACTCAATAAATACTTTGAAACGCTATGCAGCCAATGCAGATGAGAAAAGTCTGTCCTAAGGGGCTAGAAAGAAAGGACTTCCGAGACATTTTGTGAAGTGCTGGAAGTGGGATGTATCTGTCCATTCACTCAACGGATGTTTGTTGAGCACCCACACACATCAGGACTTCATTAGGCACTGGGGGCACATCAGTGAGCTAAACAGGAAGGAAATGACTGCCCTCACAGAGCTGATCCAGGAGCAGGAAAGAGGATGTAAGTGAAAATAAACTACATTGCAACCAAACCCAGAGCCATCAAGTCAATTCCAGCTCATAGTGAACTCGGGTAGGATTTCAGAGACTAAATCTTTACAGCAGCAAACAGCCTCATCTTCTCTCACAGAGAGGTTGGTGGGTTTGAACCACCAACCTGTGGTTAGCAGCCCAGCATTTATCCCACAGCAGCGCCAGAGCTCCTTAAAATCAACTATATAACATATAAAATAATGTGCACAGTACACTAATATTTTTCTAAATATGTGAGGCTATTGAAAAATGTCTGACTTTTTTTGTTCATAGTAGTTATCTGGGTGGTAGGGGTCTTTACTTGCCACTTCGTATGTTTTTGGGGTCCCCCCCTGAATTTTTCAAAAACGAGTGGTCCTTTTAAATCCTAAAAGAAAGAATTGCATCTTGATTAAAAATTAAACATGACCAATTTATCTTACAGTGTCTTTGCTTCGGTAGCTTTTTCTTTCCTGGAAGAACTGAAAAGATCAACAACTGTCAGACAGGAGTTCCTAGCATTTTTTCACAGGCAAAAAGAGAGAGTGCGCCTTCCTCAGGAGGCTATGAAAGACAGGTTTTAAAAAGGAAAGGCCTGTTTGGTTATATTATTTTAAACTTCAGTCAGGCTAATGGTACCAAACAAAATCAAAAGGCTGATGTTTAACTGGGGGCAGGGCAAGGGGAGTAGTTACGATAAGCAAAAGGCTAATACAGCACTATCACAACCACCAAGAAAGGAGCCCTAGAAGTGTAGTGGTTGCAGGTTTGAAACCAGTAGCAGCTCAGAGGCAGGAAGGCGAGGCTTCCTTCTCCAGGAAAAGTTCCTCTCAGAAACCCACAGGAGCAGAAAGTACCATGTTCTCCCATCGGGTTGCTTTGAGTTGGAATTGACTTGATAGAGTGAGTTTGAGTTCTTTTTCTTTTTCTAACCCACCAAGGACTCTTAAAACATAACAAGATGAAGATGAGCAGCAGGAAGGCAGAGACACGCAGCCGCCAGTCACTGCAGACATGACTAGATGTCACCAAGCGTCCATTTTCACGGATGACGTGTGACAACCAAATTTTAAAACAAGAAGGTGCGAAGTTTCTCCTTTGGAGATTGGAAAATTTTAAAAGTGTGTCACGGGGGGCCTTTTGAGCACAGGAGCCCCGGCGGAGCCGAGTGGCTCAGGCAGTGCGGCCCTGTCGCTGGCGGAAGCCACTGGAGACGCGGCCATTCACATCTGTGTGTTCCTTCCTTTTGAGTCTGCGACAGAGCACGTGTTCTTCCTTTACAACCGCCCAGAAGCTGAACAATTCTAAAATGCCCAGCCACCTTCCACTAGAACCCCTTGTTTATAAGTATGATAAATAAAGATAGCGGATAAAAAAATATGGAGACCAGTCAGCGTCTGGAAGAGGTGCCGAAGGAAGCGGTGTCATGCACTATTGGAAGGAGACCTCTTCCCTACAGGGTCAGGGGAACTTGGGGGGCTCCAGCAAGCCCCCCACGGGGTTGAGACTTGAGATGGTAAGCACTTAGGTCCATGGACAAAAGAGTGAGTGAGCTATCTAATGGCGACAGGGTTTCTTCTCTATCAGAGCATCTCTAGTCCTCTGCCCTCTGGGTTTGCTCAGAAGAAAGCACTCTTTGCCTGCCCCTCCCCTGCCTGGCTCTCAGCTCAAGGGGACTAGAGACTGGCATCTAGCCATCCCATCAGGCCATCCAAACTACCTAGGACCACCAGCCCACAGCAGGTGTCCAGTTCTGCTGATGGGTCCTGGGCACCTAGAGCGGATGGGGCACCCTGGGAGCGTGTGGAGGCTGAGTACCTGTGCCCTGAGTTTCTAAATGGGTTGGTCTAAGTGAGTCTGACCCACTTGCATTTCAGACAGGCTCGGTAGCCGGTCAGGGAAAAAGGGAATGATTCCCATCCATCGAGCTGGCCTGACACAGAGGCTAAAGTGCAATAACAAGTGAGAGGATGGCATCAGGCCTGGCAGTACTTTATTCTGTTGCTGGGGGTGGGGGGTGTCATCAAGGGGTGTTTGCTATGAGTTGGACCAGCTCTGGTGGCGCCAGCCAGCCCTCAAGAGCAGAAGCAGGTCCCCAGGTGGTGCTGGCACTGCTGCTGATGGTGTTGAAGCTGGGCCGAGGCAGAGCTGGACCAGCGGGTGGAGAGCTGAGAGGCACTTGTGAGCAAAGAGCCACTGGGAAAGGGTGGCCGGTGGTCCTGAGAAAAGGACGGAGAGCAAGGAGCTGGCAGGACTGCGGGGATGGCGCGACATTCTCTGAGGCAGAGGACCCAGGAGATGCAGCTGCTGTGCTGGCAGAAAAGAGGGCTCGGTTTGTGGGGCAGAGGGTCACCAGGCCCTTGAGGATCGAGCACGAGGCCCTGGGTACGTGGGCGGAAAGCGAACGCGACCGAGCTGGGAGCTGAGACTGTGGGAGCAGAGACCAGGGACGGCACAGGGAGCGAAAAGCGAGGAGTGAGAACCAGGGGACTGTGGGCAACTCCACAGACGTGATTCTGCAGAATTTCTACCCATTCCACAGTCTAGAGCAGTGGTTCTCAACCTTCATCCTGCCGCGACCCTTTCATACAGTGCCTCATGTGGGGGTGACCCCCGACCATAACATTAATTTCGTTGCTACTTCATCACTGTCATTTTGCTACGAATTGGGCGACCCCTGGGAAAGGGTCGTTCAACCCCCAAAGGGGTCACGACCCACAGGTTGAGAACCGCTGCTCTAGAATCTGGCGAGGTGGTCCTACATCACCTAATACTTTGGGGCAGGTAGAGCGGGTGCAGTAAGAGGAAAGAGGACCCAAACTTGACCAATGGCTACCATGGGTGAAGGGGAAAGGGTTATGGCATAGGGGGCTGTGGTAGTTATATAATGATTAGTCAATTTAAGAGGAATCAGAGTGAAGGGGTAGAGTCTAGCCTGTCCATCCGGTCATAGCCAATGAGGTCTCTGTGTGGGCATAGCCTTCTCCTGAGGATTCTGGGAACTCCTGTCTTCCTCCTTGGAGATGGGAGACACTCTCTCTCCTCACTCCCTGGGAGACATTGCGGTTGACAAGCCACATGGAGAGAGGCTGAAGGAGCCACATGGAGACCCCTGCCAGTGCTGAGATACTTGCAATGCCACTGGATCCACAAGCCTTTTCACCCACTGGCCTGTGGTCTTCCTGCATTTGGCATCATTGCATGTGTTGCAGGAGTCTGAAGAGGACTTTATAGATTGGTCTCGGACATATGGGCTGATATTGGACTTAAGGACTTGACGTGGACCGGGCTGGGCTGTTTTCTCAATGCTCAATTGCTCTTGTATATAAAGCTATTTCCTATACACATATGAGTGTCTATGAATTTGTTTCTCTAGTCTGCCAGGACTAACACAGGGACACTGAGTTTATGTCAATGGTGGTAGAATAATTTGGGAAAGGCTGTAGAACACGCAGCGTAACCAGTGACCTGAATTATACAAGCAGAAGTTGTGGCATTGGACTGTTGCATCATGTCTAGTATTGCCACCATTAGAAAAAAATAATGACATAAACGACGACTACAAGGAAGAAGAAAATGTTCTCGAATGTACTCTGCTGACAATTATACAACTCTTCCGGACATGATCGAATCACCGAATTGCACGACATGAAGATAAAGTGCAAATAAAACTGTTCAAACAAAAAAAAGAGGTAGGAGAGAGTGAAATTCCCAAGGAGACTTCAGGTTCCTCCGGGGGGGGGAGGGAGGGACCCCCAGGTGCCAGGGGGCAGCCCGTCAGGAGGACACAGGGGATTCATTCCCAGGCTGGGAGGTGTCTCCTTTAGCCTGGGCTGCCCCAGACAAGACACAATTGTGTCCGCTTTGGCAACTCTGCCTAGATGTCCCGGGCACGAGGGGGGAGACGTGGAGGAAGGAGGCCCACTGCCATTCTTGGTGTGGTTCTTACTCGGGGAGCCGAGCTGCCTCTGGCCGCACTTGGGCAGCTTATAAGGCCTGGTGTGAGCTTTGTTTATGCAGAGCAGCAGAAAAGAGCAGCCAGCGGCGGGGCTGCTGCCCCTCAGTCCTTTTGCATACATTTCTCAGATGATGATCCACTCTACTCCCCCTGCCCCACCCCCAAGGCCGGTTTATTGAAAAAACCACCTTATATGGTAATATTGCTAACACACCGTCAGCTGGCCTTTTTAGGGACTCTGTTTGAAGAAGATCCGCCTCTGGGGTTTTATATTGCTCTGGTATTTATGCCAAGGACACACCAGCCCTCAGCCTCCTGGAGAAGGGTCTCTCCCTCCCGTGGTGAGTACTGCTCCTTGCCCTTTCGGGGGGCTGCCTGGCCTCTTGGGACGTGCTGGGCTCCAGATTGGCTTGGAGTCTGTGATGCTAGAGCGCCCTGGGCAGGGGCAGCCTGGGGAGGCCAGGGTGGAGCCGGGACAGAGCAGACCTGGGCCAGTGTCATCTCGGCCCTGAATCAGCTGGTGTCTGTTCTTGGGGGTCACAGCGGGAGACGCTTTGTGGACAAACAGCTTCTTCTCAGGATCTTGGACGGAAAGCCCACCAGGGGCCTGGTGGTCAGGCGATGCCCCGCGGTGGCTGTGGCAGCTGACTTGCCTTCAGCTCCCAGGCACAGTCGGGCTTGGCTGAGGTGGATGAGCCTCACTCTCTGAGAATCTTGGGTCATTGTGGGGTGGGGGGATCAGGGCTGAGCCAGGGTGGGGGCGCAGGGGCCGTACAAGTGTCCTGTGGCATCAGGAGGTTTTCAGACTGGAAGAAGCCTGCTGCTCACTGCTGCTCCTTGAGGTTGTCCTAAACAAACACAACCCATCGTGCACCATCCACATGCTGCTTTCAGACCAGAGACGTGGGTTTCACTGGCTGATTTTCAGAATTAGGCGCCAAGGTTTTTCTAGCCTGACGTAGCCCAGAGGGTCCGAGGTTCAGCATCAAAGCAACACACAGGCCTCGCCTGAGAGCTGGGTGTGGTGTGCTCCCCCCCCCCCATGAGTGATGGGCCAGGAATTGGACCTAGGTCTTTCACATGAAAGGGGAGAGCCTTCCCATGGAACCCACCACCACCACCCAATTGGGAGCCCTCTATCCACTCTCCTCTGATGACATCGACGAGGCCTGGTGAAGTTAAGAAACTCAGCTCAGAAACCAGCCCCCAATGTCATCACGCCCCAACACACACCCCCTGTGGAGGCAGGCTGGGGAGGGGTGCAGGCCTCAGGGGCAGCTGCCCAGCCCCACAGGCCCACAGCTTGGTGCTGTCCAGGTCCGACTTAGCTCTCAGACGCTAACACTCACCTAGAAGGCGTGTGAAAGCGCAGCTGGTCCTCCACCCCCCCGGATTCTGGCTCAGTGGGTCGGCGTGGGGTCTGGTCCTTGGCGTTCCCTAACAGCTCCCAGATGTGGCTGCGGCGGCAGGTCCAGGACCACAATTTGCTCAGGGAGGCTCTCCGCGCTTGGCTTAGTGGTCTGCCTGTGGATTGGGGGCATTTGAAGGTAGCCCTTGGGCAGAAAAGAGGCAGAGGGTGCTCCCGGGAACCAGCATGGGTGGGGGCTGGAGCATGCCAAGGAGCCCCGGTGATGGGTGCCGTGAATCCGTACAGGGCTGTGCCCAGAAAGGTTGAGTGTTTGAACCCACCAGCACTCTGTGAAGGGTGTGAGACGTACAGTCTTGGAAATGCTGATCTGAGGTGGCGCTGTTTGGTCCCAGAGAGTCGTCATGAATTAGAAACCAACTCGATATCCACAGGGGTGGGTTTTAGGCCATCTGTGCCCGGGTTAGACGGCTGGCTCTCAATAACTCAATTCAAGTCTGGTGCTGGAACCCATTCGGTGGGTCCACGGGAGAAAGGCCTGGCGATGGATCTGCTTCTGTATTGCTGCCCAGACAACTTCTGGGGCAGTGCTGCTCCACCTGGTGAGGTCACTGGTGAGGACTCAGTTTGGGTCAGTTTGTTTGCTATGGGCCAGGCTCCTCGGGGAGCCCGAAGAGGTCCCGCCATCAGTGGGAGAGACACAGGAGCAATGAAAACTGGAAGCCAATGCATGGAAGAAAAGGATAGAGCCCAGGGAAGGTGTCATGGAGGAAGAACATGACCTGGGTCCTTGAAGGAGGGGTTGTCCAGGCAAAGAGGCATGCCCCCTGGGGCTCTTCAAGTGGTTTGATTCCACTGAAGTGAGAGGGTGAGTCAGGGAGCTGAGAGAGCTGAGGTCTGGGGATGGTAGGACCAGATTAAAAGAGCTTTATACCTTAAAGTAAAGGATTGGACAAATTTGTCCACCCAGAGAGTGGCACAGGAGCTATGCCCTTTGAAAGGACTGCCCTGGCAACTGTGAGGGGAGTGGACAGGAAAGGGGCCATTTGGGCAGAGATCCTGAGCTGGCGGTGGCGGCAGCGGTGGCGGTTAAAATAAAGAAGCCTGGTGATAGGTTAGCAATCCGGGGTAAATGATTAGCACTTGTCTCTTACCTGCAAGGTTGGAAGTTCGACTCTACCCAGGTGTCTTGGAAGAAAGGCCTGGCTGTTGCCTTGTGGGACACCAGCCACAGGAAATCTATGAGACATAGTTCTACTCTGTCACACATGGTACACAGTTCTGCTCTGTCACCCATGGGACACAGTTCTACCCTGTCACCCATGGTGACTGCTGGGTCTGTTTGGGTTTCTGATGAGCTGCAATGGGCAAGGGAGGAGGGAGGGCATTACCCAGAGTGAGTAGTGGAGATGGGGCCATTCTCTGAAGGGCCAGAACCAGGGAGAGTAGAGGCCAGTGCCTAAGAGTGCTTGGGAAGTGTTGGGTTGGGGAGCCCTGAGACTCAGAGGGAGGATGCCCCGTGGGCACTTGACTAGCGTGGCTGTGGCCTGAGTTGGGGGAGTGAATGAACCGCTATCAGCTAAGGAGCCCAAAGAACAGTCACCCCTGGCAGGTTCCTGAGGATCACAACCATGACACCTGGAAGTCGTCTCATGTTCATCCGATAAAAGATGCTTTCCCATCACATTCGATTCATTTTCCACCGTGTTTTTGTGAAATTACTCCTCGTTGATGGGTGTCCTGGCATGAGTGTGTGTGCTGGGAAGAGTCCAACAGCAAGCAAAGCCACTGCCTCTGAGTTGATGCTGCCTCCCAACCATCTTCAGGGACACGGGAGGACTGCTCCAAAGGGCTCCTGAGACCGTCACTCTGCACAGGCACAGATAGCCTCGTCCTTCTCCCCTGAAACAGCTGGGGGATTTGAACCACTGACCTTGCAGTTAGCAGCCCAACGCTTATTGCACTGGGCTGCCAGAACTCCTTTGCAGACAGATAGGCAGCTACATACTCATCATTGGAAGCTCCCACCCAGAGTTACCTTCCAATGATTGTTTGAAATATATCTCACAATCTCAAAGAGCTTCCTTTTAGGGCTAAACATGTCCACTGAAACAAAAACATCCTTGGGAACCAGCATCGGAACCCTATTAGCAGAATGGCTACGCACAGGGCCACAAGATCAGCAGTTTGAAACCACCAGCCACTCCACAGGGGGAAGACCAGTCTTTCTGCTCCCAGAAAGAGTGACCATCTCAGAATCTCACAGGGGCAGTCCTGCCCGTCCTCAAGGGTGGCTAGGAGTGACCACTGAGACGATGGCAGTGAGTTTGTGCGTTTTGTCTTGGCACCAGCATACACTCAACCTTTCGTCGTCGTGATGTATGAAGTGGACCCTTTGATTCAATAGGAGGGAGCCCTGCTGGTGCTGGCGAGTGTTAGACTGCTAACCGCAGGGTCGGTGGTTCAAATCCACCAGCAGCTGCTCTCGTCAAATGTTACTGCTTCAGAAACCCCAGCTAGAGTCGTGATGGATCGTGATGGACTCGATGGCCGTGGGCCTGGGATCCGGGGAGCACGTGTTGACGAAGAGCGTTAGAGAAGTTGGAGTTATTATTGGTGTAGCCCTGTACGACAGCACAAGTGCTCCGGTGGCCTCGCGGTCACACATTGGGCTGCTAAGCACAAGGTCAGCAGTTCAAAGCCACCAGATGCTCTGAGGGAGTTCCCGTCAGGATGACCATCTTGGGAACTCCCGGGGGGTGGGAGCCGTTGTACCCGACTCAGTGGCAGAGAGTGGAGTGGGGGTGGTCTCGCAGCATCAGCAAAGTTGTCTGTCAAGGATGCAAAAACAAAGCTAAACTAAACTCACTGCCTTCAAGTTGATTCTGACACATCGCAGCCCTTTCAGGCAGGGTGGAACTGCCCTGTGGGTTTGTGTCTGGGACTGTGCATCGCTACAGGAGTAGACGGCCTCGCCTCTCTCCCAAGGTGGCTTCCAGCAGCTCAGCCTGTAACCACTCGCCACCCAGGCTCCTGGGCCAGAGAGTCGGGACTCTAGGCTTTGCAGGCCGGCTAGTTTGGGCAGCTACTCAACTGTGACCTTGTAGCTCAAGCAGCCACCAGCCAGTAAGCCAGTGGTCGTGGGGTCGCTTCCAGGTCCCAGACATTTCGAGTGTGTCAGAGTAGAACTGGACTCCATTGAGTTTCCGGTGACGGGCGTCCCTAAAGAAGGTCACCAGGCCTTTCTTCTGAGGCACCTCCGGGGACTCTAACCACCAACCTGGAACCTTTCCTGCAGTTATCGGCTGACCCTATGCACTGAAGGCTGCAGGGCCCCCAGGGCAGCCACAGGGAAATGAAGGGGATGGCTGGGTTCCAATGAAACCCTAATGAGGAACACTAAAATGGGAATTTCGTATCATTCCCCGTCCCCCTCCCCCACAGCTATTTAAAAATGCAAAGGCTACTCTTAGCTCTCTCTGACCATCCAAAAAGCGGGCCTTCTTTGGCTGACTGGGATTTTTCAATGGACAGAACACCTTCCTGTCCACGATCGCATTTGATCCATCATTCCCTTGAGATGCATAGTATCGTTCCTGCATTATGACGGAGGACGAGGGGCGCCTGAGAAGGGGCTGGGCCAGGGGAGGCGTGCAGAAGGTGGGGCTCTCTCTGGAGCGGCCTGGTCTCCTGCAGAGTGTGGGGTGTGGGGCGGGAGGTCCCCCTGCTCTCCTGCCTCTGGTTTGGGGCCACTCTGGGAGAGAAGAATCAAAGCGCCTTTCTAACTCCGTGAAATCCTCGGTGAAGCCCGGAGGTAGTGCGTATAGGGAGCGCCAGCACAGGTGACCCCAGGAAACCACAGTGACCTTGGCTCTGGTTCAGCTCACAAGCTCAAGTCCAGCCGCAAATGACCAGAAAACAGCTGAAGAGGGTTTCGAATGTCGCCTGGAAAGTGTGATCCCGGTAAAATCCTTC